CCCCGCCCCGCCCCGCCCATCTGTCTGTGTCTGTCTGTGCGCCCCCCCATACCCCGCACCGCCCTCCCGAGCTCTGTACAACACAAACGGTTAATGAGCAAGTCAGTGACACTCTCCCCTCCCTCCCTGTGTCTCTCCCCTCTCCCTCTCTCCTCTCCTCTCATAACACGTGTGTATGGCCTTAAAAGAAGCCCCACACTCCTTTCGGCAGGTTCCTGTCCTCGCTTGTGACACTCGGGTTGCTCTCCGCCCTCTCTACCGCCGTTTGCTCGCCGCTCGCCGCCTCATCCAGCCGCTGCTCTGCCTGTGGCCGTGATGGCGATGGCGGCCGCCTGGTGTCCCCCTCCTGTTGCTGCTGATGTGGCCGCGCCCTCTCTGCCCGGCTGTCAGCCGCCGCTTGCCGTGATGATGACCGGTGGCTGTCGGTTTCGTCCTCGAACCTGTGCAGGAAGGGGTCTTTGTAGGGCGGCTTGGGCGTCACAAGCTTGGCCGTGTTGCCCTTTCTCATCGCCACAGACATCGGCGGCGGGGGCGGCGCCACAACACTGAGCTCCTCCTGTTGCCCTTGTTGGTCCTGGCTGGCTAGGGGGGTGGCTAGCGATGATACTGGTTGAGATGGTGGGGAAAAAGAGGGCGGCGGGAGGTCAATTCCGGCGTCTTGTAGGGCTTTGAGCGGGTTGTTGAGCATCTTGCCGACCGCCTCGATGCCGGCGTTGATCATGGAGCCGACGTCGCCGCGCATGAGATGGTCCTTGGGAGTCTCACCGCCACTTGACGAGTCCGGCTGAGGAACAGATGGACGGATGGGCGAAGAAAGGAGTGTTTGCTGAGGCGTGTGTAGTGTTCCCCCAGACTGACCTTCTTGGCGACGACCGTGACGAACACGCCCTTTTGTATCTTCTTCATGACTTGGTAGCCGGCCCTGAGCAGGCCAACACACACATGCACACACACGCAGTGCAGTGCATCAAATCAAGGGAGGGTCTCTCCTTCTCGCTGTCGCCCATTCCGTCTGCCCTGCCCACTCACTTGCTGAAGTATCTGTGCAGGTCGACGGTGCACCAGTCCTTGAGATAAGGCTCGATGTAGGTCGTTATCTCAGGAAGCTGACACACAGACACACACAGACACACACACATCCACCCTCATCCCCCGCCCAACCCGCTCGCGCACTTACCGCGAGCTGCCTCCGAATGATGGGGCTCTCAGGGTCCTGGTCGACCAGCACGAATCGCCCGCCCGGCTTGAGAATGCGGAGCCCCTCCTGCAGGATCTTGAACGTCACGCCCTTGGGCAGCTCGTGCGACACGGCGAACATCGTGACCATGTCGAACGTGTCGTTGTCGAAGAAGGTGCGCTCGCCGGCGGCATGGTGGAACTCCATGTGGGGATATCGATACCGGGCTACCGCTATCATGTGGGGGGAGAGATCCACACCTGCAGGGCACGCACAGATACACAGACAGAAGCCCACCAGAGGAGGGAGGTCTCTGGCATGCCTCAGTGGGTGCGGGGCGTTGTGCAGAGTTACCTACCTTCGACAGCCGCGCCCTGGTACTTGGTCTGCAGGAGAGCTGTCGAGTCGCCCGTGCCACAACCAATATCCAGCACCCTGACAGCCACAACTCACAACACACATGTCATACCGCCCCGCCCCGCCCCTCCTTGACTCGCTGATTGTCTCACCTTGGTTTGTCGACGGTCGGCAGCAGGTTTGCTCTGGGGAAGGCGTTTCGCCCCAGTGTGGCTTCGGCCTCCCGCACGAAGAATGCGCTGTCGTGGTGGTGCTCGTGGCTGTGGAGCGGCTGGAACTGGTGGCCGACGCCCAGCTCGATCTCGGTCCCGGTCTCCTCGAGCGCCTCGCTCCTGTAGCACGCTGTGCCCTGGAAGAGCGTCATGGTCGCCTTCATCGCTGCAGACTGCTCCACTGCCTGGGGGTGGGGTGGGTGCGCAGAGAGGGAGAGAGACACGTATGGACGCGTGTGTGTGTGGTGAGTTGACTGACTGACTGACTGACTGACCTGTGTGATGCATAGGTTGCCCTCAAGTATGCCGTGGATGGGTGCCTCGAAGTACTTGGGGATCTCTGTGCGGGGGTCGCGCGCTGCTCGCACCTTGTCGTCCCAATTCAACCACTGTATCCGACCGACAGAGGCAGCAACACATCACATCCCATCACATCACATCCCACACACACACATGCGTTCGCAGCCCAGGCAGTCAGTGGCAGTGTGTGGGGTGTGCGAGCGTAGCGTACAGTGAGGTAGTTGGACTGTTCCCAGTTGACTCCCCTGCTGGTGGAGGCCACCTTCATGTGGTCACGGATCGCACGCAGGATCCCCTGGATCAGAAAGTTCCTGCACACACAACACACATGCACCCCAAGCCAAGCCATGCAGGTGTGCATGCGCCACACCGCCATGACTGACTGACTAACCTGGGCCATGTTTTCCGCAAGTTCCGCAGGTAGTTCTGCCGCGCCCGCGTGACGCGGTCCTTGACCCACTTCCTCGAGCACTTCTGCCGCGCCCGCTGCATCTCTCGCCGCTCCCACGACAGGCCATCATCACCATCTACCACATCGTCTGTAGCCGCAGACGCAGGCCGGCTCACACCCAAACCACCCGGCGGCGTCGGATACAGCGGCCTACTGCTGCTGCTGCTAGTGTCTTCCCGGTCCTCGGGCGCGAGCAGCTCACCGCCGGCGATGGTCACGTCGTCCTCGACCTGCCTGACGATCGCGTCGAGCTCCTGCATCTCCTGCTCCATCTCTGCCTCCCGCTTCTTCGGGCCAACCGGCGGCTCCGCCACCACACGCAGAGACGTCTTGGACGCCCTGCTTGATGGAGATCGGGGTCGAGATGCGGACGAGAGGAGGGAGGGGAGGGGACGGGCGGCGAAGGCGGCTGGCCTGCCTCGCCGGCTGCTCAAGGTGAAGGGCGCTCCGTTCTCAGGAGGGAGGGAGGACCTGCTGAGTGTGTGTGACCAGACGGCCAGACAGGACAGGCGGACGAGCAGCAGCAAGAAGAGCAGGGTGGCCAGATCCATCGTGGGTGTTGGCCAGGGGGAGGGGGCAAGAGATCCGCGTGGAGTTAGGGTAAGAAACCTGTGAAAAAGCTGCGCTGGCCTGTAAAGAGAGAGTTGTTTTTTTTCCGAGAGTGACAATCGATGCGTTCGTCGATTAAAGAGGTCAGAGAATGGCACAGGCACTTCATGGTTGCATGCACTGCCCATGTTTCCTGTGCAGCAGTGGTTCCATGGCCTCTTAGTAGCGGTCTTGATCTTGTCGTCCCTCTTTCTCTCCCCGGCGGACGGCGCCGAGCTGAAAGGAGAGCATTCATCCTCTGGGCCGCCGCCATCTCAGCAATGCTGCTCCGGCCGCAGCCGCCTGCCCGTGGCGCCCATCACCGTGGCCAGCACCAGCAGCACTCGTAAAGGGCTGCATCTCCATCAACACCATGACATCACTGTGAGGCTGTGGAAGGCGCAGTTCCACCAGTTTGACGTCGATAGAAGCGGTGTTCTGGAGGGCGGGGAGGTGGTGGTGTGTCTGCTGCGTGTGGTGGGCGCGTCGACGAGGGCTGCGGTGCTGCGGCAGGTGATGGGGGTGGTGGATGGCGACGCCGATAAGGCGCTGAGCTTCCCGGAGTTTGTTGGGCTGTACTCTCGGGTACCATGGGAAGAAGCAGGAGTTGACATGCTCCCTCCCATGTGTGTGCCCTGGCTGTGTGCAGTTGACGAGCGGCTCGACGAGAGCCAACATCCAACGATTCAGCAAATACGACATGGTGAGAGAGAGGAAGAAACCGGGAGAGCGAAAGGCAGGCTGCCTATCAGCTGACGATCTGTGCCGTCTGTGTGTGTGTGTGTGTGTGTGCAGACAGGTGACGGGCGTCTGAATGCGCTGGAGCTCTTTCTTTTGTCCATTTCCCGGCCCCACCCCTTCATAATGCGCCTGTCCAACGCTCGTGCGAAGATGCACCAGTTCGACAGAGACCACGACGGCTTCCTTGACTTCAACGAATACGAGGCAGGCACAGCACAGAGAGAGCGCGGGAAACTGACTGCGCAGCAGTGATTGTGGGTGTGGGTGTGTTTGTTTGTGCGCAGGACATGGCGCTGGAAGACGGCTTGGAACGGCAAGTAGAAGACGCATTCAGGAAATATGACCAAAGTGAGGGAGGGAGGGAGTGAGCGGATGGATGGATGCGCCAGGGGCCGGATGGAGGGGAGGCATGAATTGTGTTTTGGTGGTGTGGTGGCAGATGGCGACACTTTCATTTCTCGGAGGGAGCTGCAGCTGGCATATGAGACACTCGGCTACACCGTGAGCTGAGCTACCGACATACACACGCGTGCCGTGGCGACAAAGATGCGGGCTGATTTGGTTTGTGTCTCATTTTCTCGTGTATTGTCAGTTCGCTGATGTGTCCGACCCGCTGCTGGTGGAGTACCACAACATGCTGGACATCGACCTGGACGGATTTGTCAGCTACTCTGACTTCAGGGGTGGGTTCAAGGGCGGCCATCCATCTCTATCTCTCGCTTCTCTCTCTCTCTCTCTCTCTCTGTGTGTGTGTGTGTGTGTGTTGGTTGGTTGGTTCTGCAGACCATTCCAATGCCCAGTTTCTGGAAGAGCAGGCCGGGGGCCTCGCTGTGACGGAGATCTGAATGGCTGGATGATGAAAGGGAGAAATGCTGCCATCGATGGTGGGTGGATGCGTGTGTACGTGTGTGTCGGCGACCTCTACCTCTGTAGTGAACGCGCTCATTCCCACAGACGGGATTAAATGTTTAATGGTCTCTGTCTGTTGACGCTTCCCGCGTCACAGTGGACCCGCGCACTCACACACACACGGACGGCATGGCTGCATGCGCCCCGCCACCGCCCCGCCACATTTACGGTCTGTCTGCCCTCTGTCTGTCTTGCTGCGCCTGTGCTCTGAAGCTCTCCAACACCGACAGGGGATCGATCGTCAAACCAAGATATCCTGCACACACACCACACACACACACACGCATCTCTCCACCACCCCTCCCGCTCCTCCCCTCCCTCCCTCCCTCCCTCCCTGCCACCCACACCCTCACCCCTGGCCATCCAGTCTCCCTCCGTCTCTTCATCAACAACTGGGAAGTCCCCATACCGCCGAATGAGCGTGTCGGTGAGCACCCGAGCGTCGCTGACGGTGTCAGCGATGGTGGCGCCGTGGTAGCTGGTGCCCGCCACGTCCAGCCACGGCATGTGCTGCGCGCGGTGGCGGTGCAGCGCTATGAGCCTCTCGTGGAAGCCTACGGGGTAGATGGGGAAGGCCTTTTCGCACCACCGGGCGCTCGTCTCGTCAGGGAGGGTGTCGATGCGCAGGTGGCTGCGGCAGACCTTGACGGCCTCCCGCACTCCGTCCTCGATGCTCGACACACCACCACCGCCACCACCACCACCGACCTCACCGTCACCAGCCTCGCTGCCCCTCCTGACCCTTAGCCACACGCCAATCCTGTACACACACACATGGATGGATGGATGGATGGATGGGCGACCCATTGGCACAGACGCAGCACACACACAATGTGCTGTGTGGTGTGTGGTGTGGTGTGCTGACGGCTGACCGAGTCATCATCTTGGTGACATTGAGGTTTGGGAATATGTTGGAGTCCCAGAACACGCCCAGCAGGTGGGGGTGCACAGACGGCGGACACGCGTACCCCAGACCCTGTGGTGTGGGCAACGAAAGCAGCACATCCCACTATGCGTGGATCGGATCACCCACTTTCCTTTTTCCCATGTACTCTGAATCGTTTGTCGAGGACGGGCTTGTTGTAGCCCAGGTTGACCACCACGGCAGACTCGTGGGCGGCGACAAAGGAATCCAACAGCCCACACACCGTCGTCCCATCACCGTCCGCGATCACGCCATCAAACTGCATACACCCAACCCAAGAAAAGCAGCAGCGGTAGCCACGTTTGGCGCAGTTCACTGCTTCCCCACTCACAAACACCCACCCACTCACACCCACCTGGCTATGGCGAAGCACGGCTGCCAGGTCGTCGGGCGGGATGGCTGCTATGACGTGGTCCGCCAGGATGGGAGGACCACCTGACGAGTCGGCAAAGGACACCTCCACCTTCCGACAAACACACAGGCAGACAGACAGACAGCAGGTGGCCGTGTACAATCAACACATCACGTCTTCTGCATCCCTCTCCCTTCATGTACCTTCTCGCCAGTGGGTCTCATGGCTGCCACTCTGGCGTCGGTCCTCAGCTCAAGGAAGGGTGTGGGTGCGTCGGTGGTTGTGGGTGTGATTGTGGGTGTGCCCCGGTATCCGTCAGCCTCCTTGAGCGCCTGCACGAGCACTCGTATGAGTGCCTCACAGCCCTCGTGAAGCGTGAAGGTGCGGCCGCCCTCATACTGGACCTGCACAGAAACAGCTACGGCATGGCTGCCCCCCATGTGTGCGTGTGGATGGCTACACACCGACCGCCTGATTGAGAGGGTCCCATGGCGGGATGTCCAGCCAGCTGTCCTTGGAAGCATACACAAAGTCGCTGACACACCACACCCCACACCCACACCCACACACACGATGGGAACATGAGAGCGGCTCCACTCCCCATGTTGGTCCATCTCACCCTCTTCTGGGGAAGAGCAGCGCCCGCATCAGCGACCCCCTCCGCCTCTCCAGGAACCACAGACGCGGGAAGTGCGACCGCGTCGACATCTGCCGGGCGTCGCCGCCCAGCAGTGCGCGGCAGTAGGGCACGATCAAGTCATCCGTGGTGCGCCGACCAACACGACGGACGGCAAAGTCATACACGCTCTCATCCTGACCGACACACCGACAGACACACACACACACAGGCAGACAGAGGGAGATACAGGTAAGTGCGTGGCGATTGAGTGTCTGGCCTGGCGACCGACCTCTGCGTTGCCTGGCGGGACGAACATCTCCCTGAGCAAGGCCGGTCCATATCTGAGAAGGTCGAGGCGGCTGGGGACGCGCCTGATCTTGCCGTTGATGTGGAGAAAGCGGTCGTTGCCCTTGCTCTTGGAACTCCCCGGAATCACTGAGTAGGGTGTGCCCCACACACGGACACACACACACACACACACACACACACACACACACACAGGACGACAGACAGACAGACAGACAGACGACAGACACGTGTGACGCTCTCCTTCGCTCTCTCCGTTCCGTTCCCTCTGTCTTACCGAGCATGCCTGCGCCGAGCATTTTGAGGAGTCCGAGCAGCTCGCGGCCGCCCTTGGTGAGAGTGAAGAATCGAGGGCCCTGCTCGAACAGGAACGACCCCTTCATCTCCGTCTGCACCCAACCGCCCCACCGAGAGGATCCCTCCACCTGCACACAAACACACACACATACATACATTTGTGCCACAGGTTTGATTGTCCGGCTGTGTGTGCTTCTCTCTGGTTCCTCGTCGCTCTCTCTCTCTGACCAGGGTGAGGGCGGCCTGTGGGAGTCCGCATCTCAGGAGATAGGTCGTGACGAGTCCGGCGACTCCGCCGCCGATGACGCTGCAGATCCATCCGGCGCAGTGCAGAACGAACATACATAAAGGCACAACCAACACGTACGTGTATTCATTTCATTAATCTCCTCGCAGAGCGCCTACCTCGTACATACCAAAAGTGTGGAGTTCGACTCATCGCAGATGCGGCATTTTGCCCAGATCCAGCTCGCTATCCTTCTCAGCACACTTTTCCCACATCATTGGCCCCCGCAGTTACTCCCCAGAAGCAGCCAGCGGTTTCGGCAGCACAGCACATTTGCGAGCTATTGCTGATCGTCTGGCGGGAAAGAGGCGAGTCGAGGGCACGGCAGCTGTGCACGGGATGGCGATTGTCATGTGGGACTTATTTGTCATCGGGATCTGCCTCCTCGGCGCCTCAGCCGTCACGGCTACCACGGCGGCATCTGGCGCGTCCGAAGCCTTCGTGCCGTCACGCACACTGCCAGCCGCACCGCAGACAAGGCGTACGCACACAAAAAGCAGAAGGAAAGAGGTAGTGTGATGTGATGTGATGCTTTTGATTGTCTGTCCACTCTACTCATGCAGGGTCCGTGCAGGTGCGTCGAGGCGACCTGCGGATGGAGAACTTCTTCGGGCAGGTCGGCCTCGACCAGGCCGAGGTGGCTGGCGTGGCGTCGTCAGAGACCCTCCTCAGGAAGTATCTCCGCGAAGAGAAGAAGGACATCGTCCCTCCGTGAGCACACCACAGATGCAGCCACGTAGCGATGTCCCTCCGAATGTTTGGTGGGTTGTGCTGTGCTGTGCTGTGCAGGACGGCAGCCGAGTTGCGTGACGAGTATCCTCTGCTCGACCGGCTGCGTGACCTGAAACTCCTGTCGGCACTCGCTGAGGTATGTGTGATATGTCTGCCACCAACACATTCTCGTGCAATCCATCCATGTGTATGTGTGTGTGTGTGTTTGTGTGTGTGTTTTGTGCAGTCTGGGCTCTTGCGTGCTCTTGAGGAGAAGGGCCTCACGCTTTCACAAGTCGAAAAAGCGCTGCCCGTTGGTGAGTCACTGAGTCACTCAGTGAGTGACGCCTGCCCATTCGATGATTTAATCCGCTCGTGGCGAAATGTGTGTATGTGTGTCAGCCGAGCGGTTCGGTCTGCTGTCGCTGGCGGCCAACAACCTGCCCACGATCAAGAACACCCTGCTGCCTCTGCTGGTCGAGCCAGCGCCAGCTCTGCTGCCCATCGCCACGGCGGCCGTGAAGGCGCCGACCTCCCTCTACACGGCTGTCATTCCACTCGCACTCACCGGAGCAGGTCAACCGACCGACACACTAAGCTGCCTGCACCATGGATGCTCATGTGTGGGTGTGTGGTGTGTGTGCAGAGGTGGGGGTGCATTTGGGGTTCAACAGCATACCGCTGGATGTGGTCGCCGCCCTGCCCCTGCTGGGCGGCGCTGCCGCGTCCTTCACAGTCGGCAGCTTCCTCGAAGCGCTAGGGAGCGGGAACGGCGGCACCACCACCACCACGACGAGTGCTTCCGTTGCTGCGCCCTCCCTGCCGTCGTTCCCTCGCGGCGCCCTGGCGGCCTCTGCAGGTGCATTGCCACTCAGAGCAGGTAAGCCAGGCCCATACGTACACCCACACACTCACCCACTCATCCCCACATGTGTGTGAGTGTTTGTGTGCCCGCGTGCAGCGCCCAAGGCGGCTCCCCGAGCGTCCCCTCCCCCTCCGCCACGGGCACCCCTCCGCCCGGCCGTGCCTGCAAAACAAAGGCCAGCGGGAGGACCGGCACCCAAACCGAAACCAGGTATGACGCAACCGACACACACATGCAACACACACACGTGTGTCATTGGGACGTTCCATTCTCTCTGTCTGTCTCTGTCCACCTTCAGTGGCGCGGCCCGTGGCGCCACCCCCCGCACCGAGGAAGACAGGGCCCATCCCCACCCGGCCTCCGCCCGCATCAGCGGCAGCAGCCAAGCGGACGGTCACCACCCCACCGAAGCAGCCCGCCAAGCCGGCAGCCACCACGAAGGCACAGCCCGCCGGCGTCAAGAGGATCGTTGCGGCGCCTTCGTCCACCTCCATCGGGGGGCAGCAGCTGAGGAAGGCCTAGATGGACACACACAAGAGAGAGAGAGCTGGTGCAGGGACAGTCATTCTGCCGAACGAAGCTTGATATCCGGCCATATATCAATTTTTTGGATGGCTGGTGTGCGCTCAACGGTCTGCTTTTCGTGCTGCGTGAGTGGTGTATTGTGGTCTGGTGTGGTGGGTGTGGTGTGTCGGGTAAGTTGGTCGGTCATGTCTCGCTCTCAGTTTTGTCGCTGAATAAATGACTGTCCGTCTGTCTGTCTGTCTGTCTGTCCGTAAGGTATTTTTCCATGCTTGCAGGATGGCATGGATCACATGAGTCACGACACGACCGATGCACGTCTCTCTGAAATATGGCCGCTCCACCAGCTCTCGCCACACCACCCTGGCCGCACAAAAGCAAGATTTGTTGGGTTGTTGGGTTGAGGCAGATACGAAAAGCTAGCTGCCGTATCTGGATGTTCTCGTTGGGTTGAGGCAGATACGGCAGCTGGCGTCCGGCTCGGGCGGCCAGATGAGCCAGGGCGAGAGCCTCGCCAGCAGCAAGCCCATGATGCGATGCGGTCGTCAAGCGGTCGCACTATGCGAGGACGACGCCGCACGCGGTTTAGCTCGATGATGCGGTGCTTTGATAGAAGGCGAGATGAAGGGCTGTTCCAGGGGGAGGTGACGGCGCTTTTTTCCGATGTCGATCGGGCAAGCTGAAGTTGGGGGCGTGGGCGTCTCAAAGTGTTTTCCCCTGTCGTCATGAAGCATTTGAGAGGCGAAGGAACGGAGGACGAGCAGCAGTCCCTCAAAGGCGACAAGGACGTCGAGAGCCAGGCCCCGGCCGGCAAGAAACCTGCACGCAAATCAATATTCTGGAGGCTGCGCAGAGAAAAGGACGAAGACGAGGAGACCGAACAGCCAACAGCCGCTGCTGCCGCTGCTTCTGCCACCAGTGCTCAGCCGCGAAGGACCACCTTCTTCCTGCGTGCTCCACGCAAGAGCGAAATCGAGCTGGTGCACGTGCATTGCAGACAAACACAGAGACATCCATGCGACTTGAAGTTACCCGTCGCATGTGCAGGGGAAGGAGTGGCTGTACACGAGCTGGTCGAGGCTGCAGAGGAACGGGCCGATGATTCTGAAGGTGTTGGGCTTCGTCGGCGGCATCGGGCTGATATTTGAGGGCGTCGATGACGGGTGGTTGAGACACTTACCGTCCCCTTACTTGGTCGTCCAGTTCTCCTTGTCTCTCTTCTCAGGATCTTCTCCCTCCTAAAGCCGCTGCATATGGTCCTGGACGCCTACCTGGTGTTCTTCGGCCTCTTGTTCGTCTTTCTAGAGTGCCCCCCGGCCATCCACGCCATGCCGAGCTTCCAGCCCATTCATCGCTTCCTGCGCAAGTACGCCTACTTCACCTGCGGAATGGTCGGCAGGGGCCTCCTGCAGGTGCGCACCATTCCCTACAGCACCTGTCAGCCAGGATGCAATCGGTCCTCTACATCTGTCCTTGCAGGTATTCATTGCAACGCTTCTGCTGCCGGACATCGGGCATGGCAGCAGGCACCGTACCATCATTGGCATCGCCTTGAGGATTGTGGGTGTGGCCAATCTGCTGACGGGCGGCTTCGTGGCGAGGAAAGTGCGGGAGCTGAAGGCTCAGATGATAGAAAAGCTGATTGAATCGAAAGAAGCCAAAGGTGACCACACATGTGTGACGCAGGGGGAGGCGACATGCATTGGTTGTCTCATCTGCCTCTCTTGCAGGTGAAGAGTTCGATGAACACGAAATCAAGTTCATCCAGAAGAAGTTCGAAGCCCTTGATCTCAATGGCGACGGTAAGTAATCGACTTTTCCCTCTGCTGTCTCTCAGCTTGACTTGACCAATCACTGGTACGTATGTGCAGGGTACGTGGATCTGCATGAGCTGAAGGCCGGTCTGAAGCACCTCAACTTCGCCCTCGACGAGCGGACGATAGAGAGGACTTTCCAGGAGTATGTGACGGGCCGGGGAAAACCCAAGGCCATCACGATTGATCAATTCGTCGAGTGGTGGTGGGCGCGGCGCACACAGATTGATTCATTCCTCCACATAGCCTGAGCCGCTGTACGTGCTGTGTCCCTTTCTTGTCTGGATGCGAACAGGTACAAGTATCAGACAAGAGAGAGGAGCAGCACAAAATAGAAGCAGACAAGCCAGTGTGGGTGTGGGTGTGGGTGGCTGCGACGGGATGCGATTGAATCGATGTCAGCGAGGAGACGTATACGTCGTCATGTGTGTGCGCTGGTCGATAAATTTCCCATCAGATGTGAGCGTAGCAAGGGAAACGCACGTGATCGGTCATTCACAACAGGCACGACACCACCGCACCGTGAGGTCGGTGCATGTGCGCCAGCACCAAGCCTTTTCTTTTTCTATACTCGTTGACACCAGCAAGTATCAGTTTGTCAGCGTGCCTTGTCCTTGTGTAACATTTGAATGAATAGAGTGCTCGCATCATCCACCAGACGAAACATCCTGCCCTCTACCAGCAATGGGCCTCTATTGCCAGCAATGGGGGTCTATTGCCAGCAATGGAGGGAACCGACGGCAATGGGGGTCCATTGTCAGCAATGAACGTCGACCTTCATTGTGCGTGTCTTGCAGGGGCATTTCAATCATCTCGCCATTCTCGGCCGGCTCTGATCAGATGGACAGACAGCAAGAACACGTTCTCACGAGAAACAGACTCCTTCTCACGAGAAACAGACTCGAGAATGGCCAGAAAGTGATTGATTGAATGAATGAATGAGTCAACGAATGATTGAATGAGTCATTGACTTCTGAGACCTCTTTGCAATGGTGAATGAATGATTGATTGATTGATCAAGCTGAACATAGATATGAATCAGCCACACAGCAACCTGAGCGGGTCAGTTTTTCCGCCACTTTATGGACATTTCGCGAAATGTGCTGAGGCACTTTGAGGGATGGTAGAGGGCACGGAAACGTGCATCCAGACACGCAGAATGACCACCATTCACGTGAAATCACGATTGTTCGCACGTGAATTCACGACATGTACAAAGACCGGGAAGGAAGAACAGAAAGGGGATAAGTGCACTACTCTTGCCCAGCGCCAAAGCGACAAAATCATCGATGGTGACAGACACACAAATGGATGGATGGATGGATGGATGCATGCATTGATGGACTGATGTGTCTCGCCCTCTGAGAACTGATGTGTCTCGCCCTCTCTCAGAGGGCGATGTCTCGCCCTCTCTCAGAGGGCGAGACACATCAGAGGGAGGGACCAAGGCGTGCAGCAGACACACACAAAGTTGAGGTCCTGCTTGATGAGCGGCTCATGTCCATTCACCATGCCTCGGCGTGCCTGTGTCTCGTCCGTGTTGTCGTGTGTGGGGGTGTGCGGGTGGGTGGGTGGGCGTCTGGCGTCAGGTTGATCTTGACGATGCGGGCCAGGTCGAGGTAGTTGGATCGTTGGCAGTCGACCATTGGGGAAGGTTGTCTCGACGTGTGTCTGACCTGCGATGAGGGTCAGGTCAGCACCAAACACTGCACCACAGGGCAGGCAATGTAAATAAGAATGTGGTGAGCATCGCACAAGCATTCGTCTTATCGACTGACCTCAGCTCATCTCGGCACTGTTGTTGCCTATCCACTGCAGTGCTGCTTGGTGTACCTCGCAGGATGCAGGCGAGAAGGTCGACGTTGAACGGGTAGAGCAGCTCGCTCAGGAGAGAGGACGAGACACAATCATACGCAGCCTGAAGTAAGTGAAGGACATCGACACACGCAGCAAAGTGCCGCTTCCATGGGTATGTCCTCGTCAGATGCCTGTGGGTACCTGCTCCTCGTCAGATGGATGGGTGCGCGCAAGTCTGCTACGGGTCTTGAAATCATAGTCGAGCTCCTGCTTGCGACGTGCGATAGCCGTCACACTGTGGGTGTGATGCGGCACGCCTGGAGGACACTTGGGCAGCTTGTTGGCGTCAGGCGGAGCAACCTCTGAGTGAAGGAAAGGGAGAAGTGAACATACCATTCATTTTTATTCATTCATTCATTCATCCGTTCATCCATCTCACCGGGTGCTTCCTCCTCCTCGATGGGCGGCTCGTCCTCATCGTCAGCAAGTGGGTTGACATTCAGTGGCGAAATGCTGCCCCTCCCTCGCCGTGCCTGCTGGCGGCCGTCGTCCACCTCCTCCTCCATATCATCATCATGCTGGGCGTGCTAGTTGGGCACGTCGACGCCGACACGACGATGTGTGCTCTGACAAGTCGACGTCATGGTCGTCCACCGCACGCTCCGTGACGACAAGTTGCAGTGAATGACAGAAGTGATAGTGAAAGAGCTGTCAATCAGTGCTGACCTTTCTGCTCGGCCTTCTCAGCGCCTGAGTGAGAGGCAGAAACACGGACGAGTGAATGGATGGTGTGCTTTGCCATTGTTGCTTCTCTCTTACCCTCTGATTTGCTGCGCACTTTGCCGCCTTCCTTCCTTTCGGTGTTTGTATGTGCCGCCGAAAAAGGGGCGCGCTGCAATCCAAGCCGATCTCTCACGACGTACATGCAGCTAGGCTGGCCAGGGACGGGAGGGGGGGCAATCAATCCGTGCACTCTGTGTCAGTGATCCATCCGTCATCAGTCGATTGCTGCATGCGATGGATGGATGGGTGGGTGGCTCTGTCTGCATGTCTTATATATTCTGGCGTACGTGTGCACCGGGCCGGATGCATGGGACCACATTGGGGGGGCCGGGTGGGCTGGCACGTGCGTGGCATGGGCGAGAGGAAGAGGATCGAGTACATGGCATGTGTGGGCATGGGTGTCGCGTGTGGGTGTCGGTCGACTGGCTGGAGAGTCAGCGAGGCTCCTAAACAGGGAGTGGCTGACGTACCCGCAGGCCGGCAGACACACACACACACACAGAGACATGCATGATGGAACAGATGGATGGATGGCAGGTGTGAGAGGGACGCACGTGACGATGAGCGTTTCATTGCGTCGATGGGGGGGAGAACGTTCTTAGCAATGAGTTGAACAACACACACATGGAGCAACCACTGCACAGGTAGACTGTCCGGTGCTCGTTCGTCCGTTTGACAACCCAAAACATGCCACAAAACGCTCAGCAGACAGACGGCCAGCACGCTGCGCTACAGCTGGGCGGCCGGCCCCATCTGCATGCACACGTACGCACCTGCCCATCTACTCAGCCATCTGTCTCCACACAAACAAGCAAACAAACACGCGTCAAGGCCTGCAGCGACACCGAGAAGTTTTCTCAAAGATCCGTCTGCACATTTTGTAAAGAAGCGAGAGACATGTCTCCTCACCTTGTGAATCTCGAGTTATAACTGTTTTTCGACAGCGAGGTCATGTACAGACATACTACAGAACCGCTCAATTTGATGTATACGCACCCACCCACTTCTGTAGTATGCCCCTTTCTCTGTAGAGGAGAGAGAACAACCACGTCATCAGCCATACCGTGAGGTCGGTGCATGTGCGCCAGCACCAAGCCTTTTCTTCTTCTATACTCGTTGACACCAGCAAGTATCGTTTGTCAGCGTGCCTTGTCCTTGTGTAACATTTGAATGAATAGAGTGCTCGCATCATCCACCAGACGAAACATCCTGCCCTCTACCAGCAATGGGCCTCTATTGCCAGCAATGGGGGTCTATTGCCAGCAATGGAGGGAACCGACGGCAATGGGGGTCCATTGTCAGCAATGAACGTCGACCTTCATTGTGCGTGTCTTGCAGGGGCATTTCAATCATCTTGCCATTCTCGGCCGGCTCTGATCAGATGGACAGACAGCAAGAACACGTTCTCACGAGAAACAGACTCCTTCTCACGAGAAACAGACTCGAGAATGGCCAGAAAGTGATTGATTGAATGAATGAATGAGTCAACGAATGATTGAATGAGTCATTGACTTCTGAGACCTCTTTGCGATGGTGAATGAATGATTGATTGATTGATTGATCAAGCATCAACGTCGACCTTCATTGTCCTGGCATTTCAATCATCTCGCCATTCTCGGCCGGCTCTGATCAGATGGACGGACAGCAAGGCCAGCCAAGATGCGATGCCGTGCAGTCATCAGCTGCCCGTCACGTCACAGGGGAAGGAAAGAAAGGAAAGACAGAGAGGACACAGCCGTTAGCCGTTAGCGAGCTTGAATTTTGGCGTGCCCTTAACCACCGTGCCACCCTCCTCCATGGAATAATAGTTTTCTGCCGACTACTGCCGACCCGTCAACAACTCCCACCTCTCTGCCTGCTCGCAGGCATACCTGCTTGCCTGCCCATTTATTCGTCTGTCTGCCTGTCTGTCTACCAAGTTGAACGTCTGACTCGCACCGCAGGCTCTGCCTGTCGCTTGCTCTTGCAGACGAGCTGCGGGTCACATCCGGTGGGTGGCACTCGTCGGCTGCGAATGTCCTGCAGCCCTGCCATCATCGGTACGAGAACGTTGAAGACACACACAAGGGTCAGGCAGTGAAGATCTCGCACACACAC